TCCAGAAGCGTCCTTAATCTTGTGCTGCGGGGCACGTGTTTATTACGGCATGCGAGGGAATGTATCTAACGATTTTTATAATATAAAATATATCTAATATGAATATATTTAATGATATATATTTAATGATTTTCTGCACAATCAGGAAATATATCTAATGATTTTCTGCATAATCAGGAAATATATTTAATGATTTTCTGCTTAATCAGGAATGTATTGATTTTCTGTTTAATTGGTGATAGGTAAGCATTTTCTGCTTATTGAGATGTTCTATTGGACGAATAAAAGGCATGGTATAGTCATGGTTATAGGCGACCCCTGAACTTGTAACCTAAGCACGGACGTTGGCATTATTTTCTCTCCTCAAAGAGACTTTCTCGAGTCCTACAAGTAGTTGCCTGCACTTAGTGACAAATTATTTTCTGCAAATGTTTTCAAAGACATTTATGACCCTTTGGAAACCATCCATCGAACCTGCCTTAGATTACGTCTTTTTTTTTTTTTTTTAGAAAATAATAGTGGTATGAAGCAATAAAAGCACATTGCATATAATTCGAGCCGTATGTATTCAGTAGCTATAAGTATCAGCTGATTAGAATTATTAAAAAAAAAACAAAAAACAATCGAAGTTCTCCAAAGTTCAGGGTTAGTTGTCAGTTATTCCTTTCCTGAGATCAGTTCTAGGATAATTCCGTGGTTTTATCAACCGAGTTTCTTTTCTTTTTATTTATTGTTTTCAAAAATGATCAGACATTCACATTCGAGATGACGGGGCCGTCCATACACACGACAGAAAAAGCGCATCAGTTAAATCAGATCCTAATCTTCGTCGTCACCACCACTTTTCCCATTTACTTTGATGGCTTCGACGAGCTTCTGCGACTCGGGAACTTCCGGCGAAATGGCGACGACCACGCCCTCATACCCCCCGCCGCGCAACTGCACCCGCGTCGCTTCGGCCGTCGGGAGCAGCGCCACCGACGCGGCCACGCAAAGGCACGTCCACGTCCAGCCAAGCAGCTGCATGCTATCTGCAACCAAAGCGCATTTTCTTTTCTGAGTGGTCTTGTTTTGGTGCACACACACACACACACACACACACACACACACACACACACACACACACACACACTTACATACGCACGCACACACACACACACACACACACAAACACACACACACACACACACACACACACACACACACACACACACACACACACACACACACACTTACATACGCACGCACGCACACACACACACGCACACACACACACATACGTACACACACACGCACACACACACACAAACACACACACACACAGACACGCACACACATCTCTCTCCTCTATATTTCTTTCTTTTCTTTTCTTCTTCTTCTTCCTCTTTTCCTTTGTTCTTCTTTTTTTGTGTCTGTGCATACTGTGTACATACACACGACACCCAATATGATGCTCCTTTTTAACCAATTTACACCAACACAAACAGCAAAACCAAAGTGTCACCTTGCAATGACCTGTCACGCGAACAGTGTCAACAGAGGCACTGCCTTTATCGCCCTCCTGATGCCAGTCCCGTCGTCTGGCTAATTATGTTTTATCTGGAACCATTAAGATATGGTAAGTGTAAAAAAAGGGGGGACGAGGGAAATGGTAATTAGGGAGATAATTATAATTAGGGAAAAAAAAAACACTGGTGATAACTTTAGATTGTAGAGGAAATGCGGTAAGCTGATAGTGAGACGCTAATTAGGTTGACTCTCTCTCTCTCTCTCTCTCTCTCTCTCTCTCTCTCTCTCTCTCTCTCTCTCTCTCTATCTATCTATCTATCTATTTCTCTCTCTCTCTCTCTCTATCTATCTATCTATCTATCTATTTCTCTCTCGATAGTGAGACGCTAATTAGGTTGACTCTCTCTCTCTCTCTCTCTCTCTCTCTCTCTCTCTCTATCTATCTATCTATCTATTTCTCTCTCTCTCTCTCTCTCACATACACACACACACACATACATACCCACTCTCACACTCTCTCTCTATCTATGTCAGCGCCATTTCACGCGCTTAGATTATTTGTGTTAACTCGAGGTGACTGATACCACTGCGTCGTACTCGCTTCTCAATTTGTTGGAATGCGGTCAAACCTGTAATCAATACATAATCAATACAATATCAATCATGCAATAATAATCATAATTGCTGTTACAATTCGACTTAGATTCACTAACAAGATTATATCAGTACTCATAATATTACAACTATAAAAAGCATACATTTTACTATTTGCTAAGAATGTCATTATACCTTACTGCTTTAGGTAAGCAACAACAAACACTGACACTAATATATATCTATACATGAATGTGTATGATACATACGAATAGCGTATGTACGTACGTACGTACGTTATGTACGTGTTGTCGAGCCAGTATTCACTCTCAAACTGTTTTATAAACCTGTGATGGCCCCCCTTTCGTGAGACGCCCTTCCTTCATATATACGTCAACACTAGGGGCAAGGCCTAATTCAGCACATATAAACACATGGCGGAACACGGCCATGGCATTATCCTTATCGCAACGCATGAGGAAACCGTCAACCAAGTTCTAGAGGGGATGATATACGCGTGATGTTGAGGCCAGCAGCTACGCCATGCCGATGCTGATGGAAGTGGCTACAGATGTTATACACGTGATGCTGATGCCAGCGGGTACGCCATGCCGATGTTGATAACAGCGGCTACACTCCCCCCATTGATTGAGCACGGAGTGTCTCAAACAACACAAAACTCTTGCGCGGCGCTGGGAACGGTATAGTCCAGGTTTTGACATAGACCGCCACCCCCGAGACCATCGGCTTTTCTATATTCCTCATATACATCGCTTCCGAAATGAGTTAGACAGAGAATTGTTATCACAGATGCACAGCACAGCTTGAATCCTATATTTTCTCATATCCCTTTCTTTTTTCTTCATGGGTTCCCTATCAATAACAACAGGGGCAAACCTAACATCAGATCTCCCAAAAATTAACGATCAGTTATAATGATCCTCACCTGTATTGCTGTATTACACTTGGTAACAATTGTTTCTGCACTGCAAATGTGTATGTGTTTCTGCTGAATAATTATCTGAAGGTTCTCGTCGAAGGGTTCATCTATAGTTTTTTTCTCCAAAGCTTTCATTAGAATGCCGATGCAACATATCCCCACTCTTTAAGCACCCTCACGTATCAATCATCAAACATATCACTATGCACCAGAATGTCAACTATTAAGACAGGATCCTCTGCTACCGATGAATGTCAGCCAAGGAGGCAGTGATTTCCAGGCGGTGGCGTGGACATCAGCATGATGACAAGTCAGGACACATCTTTCCATAACGTCATCCCATCACACAGTGAAGTTACCAGGGAAGTAATCTGGCAGGAAATCTGCATCGCATCATGTTATCGGGATCTGCAACAGCAAGGATACGGCAGAAAACGGAACAGAGACTCTATCACGAGCATGAACACAGATTTCTCTGGAGTGCTCAAATACTAGCAGAAACTTTGTGATCATTAACTAGACCCATTATTTTCCTCACCACATGAAGACCCGTTATTTTCCCCAATACATGAGGACCCGTTATTTTCGTCACCACCTGAGGATACGTTATTTTCCTCACCACATGAGGACCCGTTATTTTCCTCACCACATGAGGACCCGTTAGTTTCCTCATCACATGAGGACCCGTTAGTTTCCTCACCACATGAGGACCCGTTAGTTTCCTCACCACATGAGGACCCGTTATTTTCCTCACCACATGAGGATCCGTTATTTCCCTCACCACATGAGGTCCCATTATATTCATTTTGAACTCGAAACTATCTGTGGTGACTGACCAAACGAGTCCAAGAGCTCTTTCTGTGGGCAAATTCTGAATATCTAGATCTTCTACAAGCTTTTCCCAACTATATGGGGTCGCTGAAATGGTCCCTCAATTGACGCCTCCAGTTGTTTCTATCCTGGACCATTTCTCTTTTCAATCCTGCTTCCCTCATATCCCAGCTCACACAATCCTCCCACCTCATCCATGGTCTTCCCACCCTTCTTCTTCCGGGGACTTGCATTGCTGACACACGCTTCAGGTAGTTCTCCTCTTCTCTTCGCTCGACATGTCCAAACCAAACTAATCTCCTCTCTTTCACTTTCCTGGCCACCTCAGTGACGTGTAGAGATCCTCTAATTTAACGGTAAGACACTCTGTCCCTTCTTGTCACCACACAAGTCCATCGCGGCATTCTCATTTCGTTCACATTCAGGCGCTCCTCTTCTCTCTTGGTGGTTGCCCAGGTCTCTGCTCCGTGGGTGAGTGCGGATCTTATTACACTAGTGTAGATCCTTCTGTTTAGCCTCATGCTCATTCTCTTATCCGTCATTACTCCACCACACTTCCTCCAGTTCCTCCATCCACTTTGTATCCTATTTGTAATCTCTGCTTCCAGCCTTCCATCATGCTGCACCATAGACCCTAGGTACTTGAAGATATCAGTCTCTATGAGTACCTCTAGGTCTATTTCCATATCCACCTCCTGCTCATCCTCCTCTCCGAAGTGGCATTTCATGCATTCCGTCTTCAGTCTGCTGATCCTGAGCCCTCTATCCTCTAACTTCTCTCTCCAACCCTCTAACTTCTGGTTCAGTTCCTCTGTGTCGGCCATGCAAATTATGACATCGTCGGCATATATAATGTCATAGGGTAGCTCCAGGTGAAGTTCATCGGTCAGGACGTCCAGGAGGTTGACAAAAAGGAATTCAAAGCACTTCCCTGGTGGAGGCCAACTCTGACTTCGAAGGGGTCTGTTTCTCCAGCTGCAGACCTTACCGTTGTGGTGGAATGTCCTTGATGCTCATAACAAGATACTCTGGCTCTCCTTTCAGTCTGAGGCTCCTCCAAATATCATCAAGTGGAACCCTGTCTGTCTATCTAGATCTAATGTATCTATTTGATGTATGTGATCTTCTACTGGAATTGATTCCAGTACATCCTTGCTGTTACTAATGCAACCTCTTGGATTAAATCCTCCCCTTTTGCTTAAATCTTTTAAATCCTTAATCATATCAATAGCTCTTTCGGGCGTTGGTACAGATTTCAAACAATCATCAACACAGAAGTATTCACTAATACATTTCATTACCTCATCATCGCAAAGTCCCTGAGTGTCTATTACAACTTGTCTTAAAGCCATATTAGCACAGGCTGGGTTAGATATTGCACTGAGCAAATGTACAGTCATTCCAAACACTTTAGGTTCTATGTTCAAGTCACCCTTTGGCCACCAATAGAAACGTAAGAAATCCTTATGCTTCTCAGGAACTTCAACTTGATAAAACATAGACTCAATGTCACCCATAATGGCTATTGGTTCCTTTCTAAATCGGAGTAACACGTTATGAAGCTTGGTAGCTAGATTTGGACCTTGAAGTAAATGATCATTCAATGAGTTACCCAAGTACTTAGCTGAGCAATCAAAGACCACTCTCAACTACGTTTTTCTTGGGTGTTATACTCCATACTTTCCGTCATTTCTGCTTATCTCTAATTCAGGCACCTGTTCTACGTATCCCTTGTCATTTTTGTCATAAAGGCTGCATATTCTTTAGCAAATCCTTGGATTTTACTGAACCTGTTTTCAAGATGCTGCTGTCTTAATTTTGCATAATTCTGATTATTTGGAATCTTCAACTCTTCATCATAGAATGGTAGCTCCATCTCGTAGTTGCCATCCACGAGTTTCATTGAATCATGAACTTTATTTAAAAACAACTTATCCTTAACTGAATTTTCCCTTTCATCATCTGTTATTCTTTCTGGGAACTCCATGATGATTAGCTTTCTTACTTACTAAGTTCTGTCGTACTAGTTTTACACGATGTTACAAGATCCGCTCCCTGTCACTTCAGTAGACCCCATATTACCCAACCTATTCTTGTTTAGAAAGCAGTTGGGCAGTATTCCTCTCCTGATATAATTTCTAATGGTCTATATGCTTCTAGGTTATTGTTTCCGATCAACAGATTCACTTCTCCATCGAACTGTGGAATCTCTACGTCCTTTAAATATGGCCTCTTTTTTAAGCCTTCCCTTGAAGGCATAAACCCTTTGCAAATATTTATATTGTACTGAGAATGAACATTTGATAAGTCTACCAAATCGCTTCCTGCCAAGGCACCAATTTGTAGATCCTTCAGGACCGTAGAGCTCACCTTCTTTTTCCCATTAAGGGTCTCTAAGTTGCATGTGACTCCTCTTCCCTTACATTCCAGCTCATTCATTAGTTTCTCTGAACAAATAGTTGTAGTTGAACCCGGATCTAAGAATGCTCGTGTCTGTATGGTTTTATGACTATTCTTCCTTTTAACTTTCACTGATATGATTGCTAATGCGGCCATTTTGTCTGTTCCTTCTGACAATGTATGGCAAGCTTCTGCATTCACGTTTACCACCTCTTTGGGATTTTGAGCTTCTTGTTGCTCAGACTTCCTTTGTAACATCATGTTTTCAATTTTTAATTTCTCCAATTCAGCCCTTAGATTCCCAGTTTCGTCCTGTAGTGGTGTATTCCCTCCACATGCATTATTGTGGGATATTCTTTATCGCACCCAAGGCAAATTTCCTTCTTGAAACATTGAGCATTACCACGACCAGTTCTCAAGCATGAGAAACACAATTTCTTTTCCCTTATTAGTTCAACTTTCCTTTCATATTTAAGTTCCTTAAACCTTTTACAGTCAAGTAGCCTATGATTTCTCTAACATTGATGACACCCATTTTCGTAGTCTTCTTCACTACTTCTCTCAATTTCCCTTTCTTGGACTCGCGTAGCAAATACTTGTCTTATCTTAGGGTTATTAGTTTTACCCTCGTTTAGTTGCTCCATACCATAGATGGGATGCCTGGCTTTCTTAGCTTCCCTTGAAACGAACTCTGCCAAGTCTGAAAATACTATAGGCTTAGAGGCATCACCCCTCTCACAGATAATTGCACGCCACCTTTCTTGCATGTTGTATGGCTATTTCATAACAAGTTTTCTCATGTTATCTGGGCTTTCTAAAGTTTTAACTGAATCCATACTTAATATATCATACTCACATCCTGTGAGAAACATGGAAAATTTGCCAAGAGCTCCCACATCATTTCCCTTGATTACTGGCCAATCTAAAGCCTTCTTGATATAAGCCCGGGCCACAACGTCATCATTCCCATAACAATCCTCAAGTTCTTTCAAGGCTGCCTCATACCCCCTTTCTGGATTCATGCTCGTAAATTCTTGTATTCTTTCTCTTGCTCCCCCTGAGGTAAATTGTTCTAAGTAGCTTAAACGTTCATCATAGGAAGTGCAGTAGGTAAGCACCTTTGTTCGAAACCGTCTCATAAATCTATTGAAGTCAAGAGAGTTACCATCAAATGGCCCAATATCCATATTGGGTTTTCGCATTTCTTTGACGAACGAGTCCATTTTTGCTATGAAATTCAAATTGGGCATATCTGGAAGGTCTCCATATTTACAGGCATTTATACTCCGGCCTTGATAATTGTCTTCATCATATGTACCGTTGTCATGTAAGCCGTATCGCCTGGAATCATAAGGATTACTAAACCCTTCAACCCTCGGAACTATAGATATCTCTTGATCGTAAGAACTCACACTACTTTTGGGACCTAATCCCCTTCTAATTTTCTTTGCCATCCCAAGCCTAACGTGGGCTACATCCCTTTCATTTTTAATTAACTGCCTCTCTTTCTAATACCTCCGTTTCCTCTTTCCACATTATCTCAAATTCTTTCATTTTAGCATCTTCAGTTTTATGCTCTCATCGAAACGTCTCTGTGAGAAGTATTACCGATTAATTCTTGAGGTTTGCTATGTCCTAGTTACCTTTTGCATCACATTTAAAATCCAAATAATAACATGAAATGGGCGGGAAACCAGTGTTATATTTTCCCAACTATTCCGTTTCTTTGATACAGCTCCGACTTATATGTTATCTTTCACTCATTCATTCAGTTTACCTATTTCTCCTAAACATGAGCACTTGCGTGCACGAGGGCCACGGTCGCTAATGTCACTAACAAGAAATCTTCCTCCATGACATATTGCATCAATTTCAAACATTTCACTTCCTTAGCGTGCAGAAACAGTTTTCCGGATTCGCTAATCAGAAATAGTCATCTTAAAAAAACTTTTACTTTTCTCCTAAAACTAATCACAAATAGGCTTGATCATATGTTCGATCCGTACACTCGTACACAGCTATGATGTTTCTGTCTCATAATAATTGCCCGTCAAACACCGTGTCACTTCCGTAGACTTAGCGCAGTTCGCTCCTCCCGCCCGTCTCTTTATCGTCGCGGCAACGTAACAGCAATAATCTCCCTTTGCGTTTGACTGTAAGCGCCATTTCACGCGCTTAGATTATTTGTGTTAACTCGAGGTGACTGATACCACTGCGTCGTACTCGCTTCTCAATTTATTGGAATGCGGTCAAACCTGTAACCAATACATAATTAATACAATTATTATTATTATATTATTATTATTATTATTATATTATTATTATTATATTATTATTATTATTATATTATTATTATTATATTATTATTATTATATTATTATTATTATTATATTATTATTATTATTATATTATTATTATTATTATTATATTATTATTATTATTATTATATTATTATTATTATTATATTATTATTATTATTATATTATTATTATTATTATATTATTATTATTATATTATTATTATTATATTATTATTATTATTATTATATTATTATTATTATTATTATTATATTATTATTATTATATTATTATTATTATTATTATTATATTATTATTATTATATTATTATTATTATATTATTATTATTATATTATTATTATTATTATTATTATATTATTATTATTATTATATTATTATTATTATATTATTATTATTATATTATTATTATTATATTATTATTATTATTATATTATTATTATTATTATTATATTATTATTATTATTATATTATTATTATTATATTATTATTATTATATTATTATTATTATTATTATTATATTATTATTATTATTATTATTATATTATTATTATTATTATATTATTATTATTATATTATTATTATTATTATTATTATATTATTATTATTATATTATTATTATTATTATTATTATATTATTATTATTATATTATTATTATTATATTATTATTATTATATTATTATTATTATATTATTATTATTATATTATTATTATTATTATTATTATTATATTATTATTATTATTATTATTATATTATTATTATTATATTATTATTATTATTATTATTATATTATTATTATTATTATATTATTATTATTATTATTATATTATTATTATTATTATTATATTATTATTATTATATTATTATTATTATATTATTATTATTATATTATTATTATTATTATTATATTATTATTATTATTATTATTATTATTATTATATTATTATTATTATTATTATTATTATTATATTATTATTATTATTATATTATTATTATTATATTATTATTATTATATTATTATTATTATTATTATTATATTATTATTATTATTATTATTATATTATTATTATTATATTATTATTATTATATTATTATTATTATATTATTATTATTATATTATTATTATTATTATTATATTATTATTATTATTATATTATTATTATTATATTATTATTATTATTATATTATTATTATTATATTATTATTATTATATTATTATTATTATTATATTATTATTATTATTATTATTATTATTATTATATTATTATTATTATTATATTATTATTATTATTATTATTATATTATTATTATTATATTATTATTATTATTATTATATTATTATTATTATTATTATATTATTATTATTATATTATTATTATTATTATATTATTATTATTATATTATTATTA